AAAACTCATGCCATTCTCATGGCTGGAAGCCATCGTGACGCAGCAGCAGAGGCAGCATTTTTGTTAGTGGGAGACGAGGCTTTAACGCAGTGCAAGAATCCTTGTCTCTGATTCCATGCTTCCACCCTACCTTGAAGAGGAAGCTTCCATGCCTTTGCGGCACCCTTCCAGCATGCTACACATCACATATTACTCACCGTATGCACACACCATCTGCTCCTCTTGGCTGGCTGAGCTGTACCGACTTGTAGACAAGGGGCTTAGTGCCATGCCTCATGCCTGGCTGTGCCAGGTGACTCATACCTGCAGAATATCGACTCAACTCCTCCAGAACAATTCCTGACAACAAACTCACAGCATCTCAAGAAAAATGTCATGGACACACCAAGGAGAACCATTTAGTTCTACATTGCAAATTCGATAAATCCTCTACTATACAGATATTCTCGCTTTGGATGATGTGACACAGCAAAACAAAAGCCTTATAATTCACTTGGCCAATTGTACATCCTGCTTAGGGGGTTAACGGATTTATTTCCAATTCCTATTCAGATCAGCTGGTACTGTCTAACACATACTCTATTACAGAATGTTTTTCACAATGCTCTTAACCAGTTTGCTGAAGGACATTAAGATACCAAATCAACACTAAACTGATTCAGTGTTGATTCAGCGTTAATTCAGCAAGGCAGTTCAGTGAAAGAGCCAGTAGAATGCTCTTTGTAAAACAGCATAAACAAGTAGAAAAGATTTGTAAAAATTGGATAAATTTATATGCTCAACTATACACTCAACTCATTTTTCAGAATGCAGCTACAGCCCTGATTCTGCTGTGATAGTCACAGATTATTCAAATTGACATTCCCTTCTTTAATTAAAAAAAAAAATATATATTTGAAACTCTCAAAAGAATTTCTATGAAAATTATTTCACTGTTACCAAGTGATCTATGTAATCATAATTGTAATATTGACCAGTTACAGCTGTTGGATATTCCAAATAAATCCATTAGCTAATCTTTTATAAACCATCAAAAGGTATGGTAATTTGAAGGAAATCACAGCTTCTTGACAAAGTGTTTACAAGAAGAAACTAAATCCATCCCATTAATCTTATTTTCCCCATTCCAAGTTTAATATTAACATAAGCAAGCACAGAAATAAAATTTAAGACTAACAACTGCAACTCACTTCAAGGGATTTTATACTAATTTTCAAGCTTTGTTATCAAATGGTATGACAGATCAAAACAGTGACTTAAAGAGAAGACAAAAACATTTTTCTGCCTAAAAGATAAGTTCTCTGTGATCTAGGAGAATGTACTCATCCTTTCCCCTCTTTTCTCTGGTTTGTCTGGCCAGTTACGAAACACAGGACAGGTTATTTGCCTTAGTCTGAAGGTCTAATAGTCTTTCCACTTTTGTAATCCATGAAAGCTAATGAAGCACTGTACAATCTTGAAAAAATTAAAAAGATCCATTATACTTTCTATAGTAGTGCTGTTGAGATTTTCAAAGTTGTCCAATGTATTTAGATAAAATATTCCTTAAAATATTTTTTAACATTCTAAAAAAAATTACCTTTTTTTAAACATTACTGTTATTTCCTGCACCATATTTGATAGCCAGAATGAAGACAGTGATGTGAGCAATAAAGCAATTAAAAGATATATTAGTATCTCTATAAAAGCTTACATCTGAGCATCTGGAAGGCTTGTACTGAGTATATCCCTATACAGATAATCGCAGAGAATTTACAAGCATGGAAGAATTATAGGCAAACAGAAATAACATGCAGAGAAAAACTGTCTCAATAAAATGGTCTTCTCTTCAGAGGAACAGAAAATGAGCGATAGTAAGTACATTTTAAAGACATTTAGATCAAGTAAATGGAGATAATAAGCAGAGATGAAAGTATTGTTTAGTACTACAAAAGTAATTTGAAGTCATTCCCATTAGTGGGAATGACAGACCAGTGATGTACATCCAGATAAGACGCTTCCTTTTTTAATAAACTGAAATGTTTACAAGAAACAAAACCAAAACACAGATATAAATGTACACACACACAAGCATACACCTTTTCTTAAACCCTATGCATTTCACATTTCATTAAAGCACTCTCTGTTCAGGTAGAGAATAAGGCCTTTCATTTCAGAGCAGGCCGCAACAGGTGTTTTCATAAAACTGCTCAGGTAAAATGTCATCTTCCTCTAGAGCACTGCTTCCAAAACCAGGGGAATACACAGGAGAGCTAAACAGAGAGCTGAGTAGAAATACTTGGCCATTTTAATTACTCTTGCTATTCATCACTGCTGCAGTAGAAATTGTGAGTCAAAATCACAGGCCAGGACCACACACTGTTACACAGTCTTCAGAAAACATCGGCGAGAGCAGTAAGGGCAAGAATTATTAGACCGGTAGGTAAATTTTCATTATAAATCTCTATGCTTAGTGCCATCACATGGCTTTAACAATTTCCCACCTAGGTTTTCCAGGCGTGAAAAAGCACTCCATCCCTACAGCATACCCACATGCAAGAATAGTTTCCATCCTGTTTTCAGCTGTATCAGCGGCCAAAGTTTACATTCGGTACAAAACAGGCTCACGCACAACAGCGCCCAGATTTCCTGCCTTGAGCTGTCCTGCTCCCACAGACAATCACTTCCCCCTGCCTGTATGCTGACAGCCTGCTATTCATCTCAGAGGGCCAACCAACACGATTTCTCAGCAGCAGTAACACTTCCAGCCTACTACATAAGCCTAAACATCTATTTTTCAATCAAATCTAGAAATAATATTTTTCTCATGAAACGTAAAGCTTCTGTTCCCAAAATAAACATTGAAGCAAATAAACACCAGCCTACTACATAAGCCTAAACATCTATTTTTTTAATCAAATCTAGAAATAATATTTTTTTCATGAAATGTAAAGCTTTTGTTCCCAAAATAAACATTAAAGCAAATAAACACCGAAAGAATCATGAAGACTAAAACAAGCAAGCCACAAAGAGAATTTACAGTTTTTTTAAATAATCAGAGTCAAACCTTGCTAAGAAAAACAAAATCTGTACTGTGTTCCTTCTACCTTCACTTGACTAGTCTTTCCTATGGGATTAGGGGGATAGGATTAAACAATTTTTATCTGGGTATTTTACTCCGACTTTATTCGATTCAGGATGTAGAATTCTATATGCTTTGCAGCATCAACAGAGGCTTGGGGACATCATTAAAAAAAAAAAGGAAAGAAAAAAGCTGACTGCACCAGGGGCACTATGCCTGCATTATGGATTTACTATGCTGATTTGTCACATTTAAGTGACATTTTAAACAACATTTTAAAGGGGAAATCCTTCTCTTTAATTTCCTTGATCATTGTTTCTCTGTATTAATAAATAAGTTAATACTACCAGTCTATGAAACTACTTTGAGAAATCATTTGGTTGACAAAGCAAGCAATATACAGTTGTTCATGAAACAGGCTCATCTTCGAGGTCAGCCTCGTTTTTCACACTAGTTGCACACAAGCATGAGGCACCTAAGAAGCAACCGTGCAATTAATGGGGAAAGTTACACAAAATGGCACTGCTGCTAAGTACTAGCTGACATTTCAGTATGCCAATTTGCTTCATATCTATCAGAGGATAAAAAAACTGAACCCACCACAAATGCTTTGGAGCGTTCTGTTTTCCTTCTAAGTTGTTAGGCTTGGCCCTGGTGACACGGACATTACAGCTGAATTATTATTTTAGTTTATTTGTTTCTCCTAGCACTCAATGTCTGCAACAGGGCCTGTAATACGGGTATTACAGGCAACTTGACAATCTCTTTAGCAGAGAAAGGGGCAAAGGTTCCCAGTTAGTACATAAAAAACATGGCTGTAAATTACTTTATCCCTAGATAGTGCTTGCAATTCACCTGGTGATGGCCCATGACCATTAATCTCTGCCGAAGAAGTCCCCCAAACCTATACATATTCTTTCTTGCATTCACAGATGAGTATGACCAATATTTCACATCATATAGAACAATCTTTTATAAGAAGAAAACATTTTAATGCATGCTCGGTTGCTTGTGTGTCAATGACTAATTTCCTCCAAGATGCTGCTAGACATTTTTCTCCCAGTTATGTTCCTTCAGACTTCCTTTCACCTCTTGAATTAGAATTTAACTCTAACACTGTGATGATCAGCAGAAATTAGAGGTAAGACAGCTGGAGGGGTTGGAAGAGAAGACAAAATCTATTTCTCATTACTTGAATGGAGTCAGTTCGAAAAAGGTCAGTTGAGCTGGAATCTAAGTAATCCCGAGCTGAATTTAGTCTACACTTGTTACAAATTAATCTATCATTCCATGGACAACAGATGTATTTAAATTCACTTCACAGCTAAAAACTGAATTAAGACACAAATTGTTAATATCCATCTACAAAAGGAAAGCCTATGACAACAACAGAGTGAGTTTACAGATTAATAAAGCGATCACCTCATGTCTTCTTTCTCCCACCTTGTGATTTTCATCCACATACAGGACAGCACACAATCTAACCACAAACTGTATTTCTCATAGAATCTGTCTCCATAAATGCTCAGTGAATCACATCAAAATCTTTTCTAGATCCTATCAGTCTTCTCATTGATTGAATCTAAATCTGGCATGAACACTACGCATCAATAGTCATCAAAATATGGTTTTGACTATGGACAGGAACAATCACCAGCTAGCCCTGTTCAGTGATATTAAACCCAAAGATCCTTAAGAGAGTGTGCTTGTGAAAGAGCTCCCATAACAGGAATAAGATTAATTGCCAGAATCAGTGCAATAAACATGACTAATACCTCTGAGACTTAAAAGAGCACAGAGGGAAAGAGAATTGTTCTGATTAATAAGAGTATCAGCTATTTAAAAACAAACAAAAAAAAAAGAAAAGGAAAGAGGAGCGGCAAACAGTGTCTCCAGCTGTTTCCCTCAGATTGTATTATTTGGGTAATTGCAGACTTACCTTTTGTGAGCCAGATGCTGAGCCCTTAAATGAAGTACGTTTAAACGAGCCACTCATCCTCCGTAAGGAACCTGCAAACTTTCCTCCTCTTCCTTTCTTAGTCCCCTGGCCCTTACCCTCCATGAGGGACCTGGTACCCCAGCACCAAAGAAAACTCTGATTTTAGTCATGTAGTCTGAGCAGGTTTTTTCCTGAAGCCACCAATCATTAAGTTACAGCTTAAATAAAAAGAGAGACAGATGCATAAACCAAAATCAAAGCCAAATAATGAGACCCCTGTTCTGATATGCACCCTGTCACAAGCGTTACCAGCCAGGCAGCCAACTAGAAAAACAAGGCAATACACTGATACAAACTGCTGTCCCCCTCCCTCTTCTCTACTGACTCTATAATCAGGCTTAATGCACACAGCTTCTGCAAGCTATGGTTTTTAATGGACAGAGATTTAATAAATGGTGATTGAAGGTAAATCTACTTTAGAAGCAGCAGCCCGAAAGGTTTTTATTCGTGCAAAGCACAGGGCAGTCAGATGGAAATTATTTTGGTATCAGTAGAAAGGCACATGAAAAGAGCAGATGGTCCCCACCAGAGTATGGGTTAGAGGCCTGGTGGAACTCTATAGGATAACTGCTGGTGGGGAGTATGCCTACAGCAGGTCTTGGGAGGACAGACAAGGTTTCAAAAGCAAACAACCCAAAAGATCAAAAGGTAGATTCCAATTAATTAGGAAATAGGGGTTATGGCAAAAAAGGTGTGGTGTGTATGATCTTAACAAATTCTTGTTAACGGCTCAATTAACCTATTTTGTACTATTCTGCCTAAATATGCAGAGTGAGAGTGAAAGGAGGCAGTTAGGAGAGAATAAACAAGAAATGAGCAAGACAAGGCACTTTAAGAAAACAACAAAATTATTATTGACTAGAAAATATCTAGTTGGCTCCAGAAGACTTGCCTTCTCAGACATAAGCCAGGAACCTGTTAGCCTGGTTTAGAAAAGATGACGGATGAGAGCACAGAGAAACTAGAGATACACTTCAGAAACATGCACAGGAACTGATGATTTGCAGCTGTGAGTAAGTGAGAAACACCACTAATTTACAGGATTTAGTTATACAGTCATATTTTTTAATTTATTATTTACTTTCTTTTAGGTTTACCCATTTGTCCCTCAATAAAGATGGAGTGCCTGCTTGCAGCTGGTTAGAGGAGCCACAGAAAATTGTGCTGAAAACCTAAACCAAAAAAAAAGTGGAAGAGGCTGATAGATGGAGATGCACCTATTTTGTTGCTCTGGTCAGCACAGCCATTAATCAAGAAAATGAAATTTCCCAGGCTGGCAAGGATAAGTAGCTGACAACTTATAACATACTTAAAGTTGTGTTGGAAAATGGGAGAGTAAAAGTTCCCTGCTCTGCAGGAGAGTCACTTCTATTATATTAGTGCAAAGAGTGTGTGGGATCAGGTTAACAGCATGTAGAGAGGAGGGCATGGACACCAGAGGGTCACAAAAGAGATCTTCCTTTCTAAGCATTCATTAGATCAAAGCAAAACCAATGAAGGTAAAATTAGCACTTTTGGCAAGTCTTTTGACAGCAGCCATTGTATCATGTTTTAAGACATGGCTTGGCTTAAGTGAACAAGGCCGAGGTAGAAGCTGGCAAACAGAATACAAAAATCTGGCAACGACAGTAAACTGAAAGGGCACGGACAGAATAACCCTTAAAGGGAGTGGTGATCAGACAAGATACTTTACAAATTCCATGTACACCTGCTCTCCAGAAGAGTCTCTTCATTGTACCTCGTCAGTTAGCAGCAAAACATTGCAATTACTGCACGGTCTTCTTTACTGTATCACTGACTTAGTTGCAAGAAGATAAAATATGTGGGTCAAAAACCACCTTATAGTGTGTTTTAAATGTTGCAATTTTTGAAATGAAACAAATTACCTTTATTTATACCAGAGCTTGATTTGCTCAATCCTGCTTTTTTTTTCTTCCTATGAAAGTCATTGCTACATTGTGGGACATATTCTCAAATGGTGGTAACTATTACAGCAGTCACTTCTGTCAACACTGACAGATTTAATGAACTGAGAATACATCCTCCTGATCTAGCATCTTATTTGATAATTATGAAAAAAGCTGAAAGACATTCAGATAATAGCATACCCTAGACATTTTTGGTTTATACTGTAGTTTAAACAAATCCAACATGAATGCTGCCAAGGAATTAAAAAACCATCCAAGGCTCAGTTCCACAGTTCCTCTTCCTCAGCCACAACATGCAGCTGAATGCAATCAATGAACCAGAGGTGCATCCTGTTGGGATATCACCTCACAAAAAGAGGCATCATGCTATAAAAGAGCAATTCCTGAAGGGATGTTGGGCTGCATTACTCAGAAGGGATGACTAATAGTATTTTGGTAAAGGAAAAAAATGGGGACGCGCTTTTCAGAAAGCTGAAATTCAGAATACGAGTCTGTTCTCCAAGGCACAATGCAGAATGTGAATAAGAAATTCATTAACTTGGTCCTTTTGGATCCGTGATTCTGAGACTTTAGTCTGAGCTGTCTGTAACTACTTTTGGTACATTTTAAGGACCACACTGGATGGTTGCAAGTCATCAGTACCCAGGAGACATCCAGGAGCCAGATGAAAGCCTCCCAGCAATCAGTGCAACAGAATCTGCCAAGCACTAACCCCAGTTAGTGAAAAATCCAGCAACCAAGTTCCGCTGATTTTCTTGTCCCCACTGTGTTTATATGATGCTTCATGCGCTGCTTCTACTACACTAAGGGAACAGAAACAAGCACCATGCTGGCAACATCAACAGCTCCTTGATTTAGAAGGACAAGTTTAATTGATTTTCCAAAAAAACCTTGTGATTTTAAGAGTGCAGTCTCACATTAGGAAATCTTTTAAGCAAACATTGTTGCTGAGGGTTCCTGTTTCACTTTGGAGCCTTCTACTTCATCAGCTGAGCTGATTCAATGGTTTGTGTGGTCTAGATCAGATCTGTGTAACCATCTGGTTTAAATCAGCACCGGGGGAGGAAAGGGTAGTAATCTCTTGCAACAGGATGCGGTTGACAACAAATGAGTATCTGGCACATTATGGAAGTTAAAGAACCTTAAACTGGTTCTAAAACTGAGCAATTCACGACATGAAAGCACGTATCTTTCCATCACCCTTAGTGTTTTGCAATAAAATCAAACTGGTAAAACTTAGATGATGAAAACCCCGAGACCATACATCCCCATAAAAGAGCAAGTGGAGCACAGGCACACTGCATTTGTAAGATCACCTTCACGGTCCCTGACAGCCCGCTCCCTGGCAAGAGCAGGGTGCATCCATTTCCAAGTACACAACAGTAACATACTCTGTGAGACAGAAGTGCCTGTATATCCTATAGATACCACACCATGGAAAGGTAACAGCTGCCGTCATGGGAAGATCCACGGCTCAAAGGCCCTATCACAATGTGCTTTTAAAGAATTGAACAGTTTGATTAAAGATAGCTGTAGTTGTTTCAGCCTACAGAATATCTAAAATGGACAAAATTGCTCTTAGTGTTCGTGGTCAGAGCCATTCTATGACATCCCATTGGAGATGTCTGATGTGAATTTAAGAAAAAAAAAAAAAGCAATCAATTTAAAGCTTTGACCTATAGCTCCCATGTCAGCTGAAATGTTTCCACTCACTTTGGTGGTCAAACTAAATATTGAAAGCAGTAGTGTGTAATCCGATGAACAGACTGGGGTAAGATAGGCTTGTACCTGTATAAAGAATTAAAAGGCACGTAGAATTAGACCTTCCTTCCCTTTCCATTTAATTTGAGTATTAAACTAAATGTGGGTTTCTTTCACAGACAATGGATTATAAACAAAAACTAAAGGCATTTCTTTTTTTAAAATGGGATATCTTAAAAGAATATATTCCATAAAAAAAAGTACATTGGTGTCCTTTGACATTTCTGATAGAATAAGAAAATTTAAACAGTCATGTGTTTAACTGAAAAAAAACCCCTACATTCCATTAAGGGTATTCATTAATTAGGCTAAGAACAGGAGCTGCTGGCATTGTGCTTGATGCTGCATATATTTTTTTCCAAAAAGACTTATTCCAAGATAGTCATAATTAGTTATGTTGTACTTGCTACCAAAATATCTAGACAAGTGTCCCCACAAGCAAATCCATCTTCCACTTCAACAGGAATTTTCCTGCACAGGGACTTGAGCATACACCAGGACCGGCTGAAATCACTATAGTGCCACAAACTGTATCTCACTGTAATGCATATAAAAAGCTACAGAAAATCAAACTAAGATCTCATAGCTGTGCACAATAGCCTCCAAAGCAGATGGCAGAGACCCTATCTGAAATGAGCTGAAGCAGAATGAAATTGGATAACATTCTATAGTCAAGGTAAAGAAAAGGAGCAATAAGTTTCCTGACTACTGATGAAGTGCTGTGCTTTCCAAATCAGATAATTTTGCAGTGGTAGATTAATTTTATAAAGAACAACATGAAACCAGAACTCTAAGTACAAATGCTCCTCATTCCAGAGCGTTGCATATGTCAAACTGTAAAAACAAAAACATTTGACATTTGAAGAACTACTACTGTTTGGTTATCCTGGCTTCTCAGTGGTCTAACAGCATCACACCTGCCTTTTCTCAGTTCCTCACACTGGACGTTTTTCAGCTTTCTCCATTCCCACAGCTACACGTTCAGCTGCAGGGGTCATGAATCACGCACACCACAGCAGCAGTATATCACTTTTACATCATGAACAAAAAGCTATGAAACAACTGCTAGGTCTCATTATTAGCCAAAAGAAACAAAAGGGGAAAAAATACTTAAGTTTTACATTTTCAAGGTCTGAATAAGCTTGAACGCTTCACGAGATCATAACGTCTTCCCTTGGCAATATGATAATTGCATTTCTTATTTGCAAAAAAATAGGCTTTGTAATTTTGCAGTACAGAGCTTGACATCTTTTTTAGATTGGAATAGCTGCAACTCAAATAATGAAGAGCATTTGGAGAATTTTGCACCATTTTTACAGAATTCTATTTAAAACTTCCTGTGCACAAAACCCCTGACTGTGGGAGCACAATATCTTCAATTCCCTTTGGCAGTTCACACTTCAGTTACACATTGCAGTACATTATTGCTTTATCTCAGTTAAAGGTCTTAGCCATTACGTACTTCAGCAGTTCTTGATTCTTTAGTTTCTATCTCTGAAATGCAGCATAGACAGAATATTGCTCAGTGCTCGTTACCTACCATGAGAATGAGCACACTGTAGGTTGCTGGGGTTTGCTGTCTGCTGGGCGAAGAAAGTTGACTTCTTTTTCTGTAAACTACATATCCTCAAAGCAATTTTGTAGTAACCTAGGCAAAAACACATTCAGATTAAAAACTTAACAGCTTACACAACACAACTCAGACAGCATGTATCTGGCATCTGACATATATAGAAAAGAAATTCTATTTAGTCAATCTCACACTTAAACTCAGAGGAAGATGGTAGGCCACTTGGTGGTATTTTTACTGCAGCATTGTCTGTCTATCCATTCCAAGAGTCTTTGTTATTTACCAACTGTCTATCCCCTCTCTCCCTCACTTGCAAGAAAAAAAAGCAGTTTTAAAGTGAAATTAAGCAGATTATGATATAGGGAGAGAAGACAAAAGGTAAAGAAAGAAACTTTGCTTGCACCAGTAGGCCTGTAAACTGGTGCCTTTGTTGCCACCCTCACATATTGGAAATAGTCTGTACTGATCATATAAACCACAAGACGCATGCCAGTCATCTACATTACTTGTACATCATGAACAGAAAGCTACAAAACAACTGCTAGGTCTCATTATTAGCCAAAAGAAACAAAATGCTTCACTACAACACCACAGTCCATTTTGAAGTCTATTGCTTTTAGAAAAAAAGCCACCGCTTTCTTCGCCTAAGATTTTTATCGTTTTTCCCCCTCTCTTTATGAAGAACTAAAGAACCGGGTTTTAAATTTTACCTTGTTATTTTACATTCTTCTCCACTTGTGCTACAAGTACTTTCAAATTTGTAAATTCTTCAAAACAAAGATAGAAAAGGATGGGGGAAGGAAAGAAGGGAGAATCCAATGACAATAAATACAGCATTTACCAACATAAATGCAGAACAGGCAGTGACAATGCATCACAGCGGAGCACAGTAACAGTAATCCAACTCATCATTTTTCAGATAAGGAAGAGTATAATTGGTTAAAGGTTCAAATATTGATAAGAAACTCACTAATTTTCATTACTCAAGCTCAGACAGTTCCTGACCTAATTCTGAAAAATGCTGAACAAACAACAGCTCCTTTAACAGCAAACGGGAGCACCCATTTCTTCAGTTCAGATTCTTGTTGCCTCTAATGACTTTCTGAGAACTGAAGCAGATAAAGGCCTTTATCCAGCATATAAAACTATCTAAATTAATCTCAGTGGACATTTGTAAGGATCTAGAAAATGGTTAGTGGGCATTTTTGAAAATTCAGGCCTCGAGGACATGTTGTATGCCACATCTCCACGTACAGTAATTTACTTCACATGCAAATTGCCTACTAATATAATTAGAGAGCTAGTGACATCTTACTGCTGCTATCAAAGAGGTGGAGCCAAAAACAGGACAGTGGATCCCATCACACATTCAATTTCCAAACAAGCTGAAAGAGCTGGAGGCACATTTAGAATCAGCTTGGGAGCAGTAGGACCAATCTCTTCCTTGTCTCATCCTATGATTCTGCAAATGGCCAGGTCTTCCAAGCTAAGGAAAGGGAAAGAAAACCCATCTGTTGAATTGTGTTTCTTTAAAACACAAGGAAGTAAAACCAGAATTCTAAAAATGGGACTATGAAGATAATAACTGCTTTAGAGACACTAAAGCAGAATAAGCAAAGCTCTTTTAAAACAAAAGCAGTGGTTCAGTTTAGATACTGAATATGGATGCTAAGTTACTAGAGGTATTTCAGGCCTTCACTTAGCATAAATCTGTTCTACCCGTGCAAAGCCTAAGACACTGGCTGTAATGTTTCACTCTTGGTTTTGTTGTTTACAATGGCAACGTTTCAGTACTCTGGACCTTCATAAAAGAAAAGTAATTATTGTTTCAGCTCCACTAATGAGCCAAAGATTGAATGTACTGCAGAGTTTTCTAATTGTTTTGTGGGCAAAAAGAGAGGAAAAAGATAATTGCAAATTATTTCTCCAGCTCTATTTATTGCTTCAACTTTTATATGAATAGCTACAGAATAGTACCAAGACAGTGAAAAGAGCCTTACTCTCACAACGCTTGGTTCTACTGGCTCGTTCACTTAGCTACCAAACTGGAATCAAGGTTCCAAATAATTTGCAGAAAGAATATAGATATTTTGCCATGGGCTGCTGTATTCAAAATGTACCATGTGACTTCAGACAACCAGCTCAGACCAGGAAACTGGGCTAATAAATCCCCATCTCAGAAATGCAGCTGTGGTTTAGAACAATTTTGGTTTTTTGTCCCTCTCCTTCTGCACACTTCCTAAAGACAGCAGTATTTATTTTAAAGTTTATTGAAATACAGCTATTGTTAAACATTTCAGTTTTGATAAACCAATACTTTCTGACTGAAACTTGTTTCACTCATCAATTCTCCAATCAGCTACATAAATAAAGCTTTTCCATACTGAAATAAGAAATGGAGATCCTCATTTGAATAAATTTCTGTAAGTTACCAGGCAAATATTTGAAATTTTAGGTTTGGGGGTTTAATGCAAATATTAGCAGAACTAAACCCAGGCTCAGTTTCCCATGAACCTGAGATGCAGTAGCACTGGTCGAACTGATTAATCGTCTTCCATTAAAAAAACAAAACAAATTTATGATGCAATATTCTGTTATTACTGTGCAAAAGAAATAAGAATGCAAAATTTGAGTTTCCATAAAAGCAATATTTTCAGTAAAACTATTGAGTTTTAGTTTTATGAGGAAAATAGGAATATTTCCAAAGAAGGTTTCAAGAACTATGGAAGATACTTCTATGTAGAAAAAAGTTGTACTTATGAGCAATATTTCTGTAGCCAATGGCATAACTAGTGGGTTAAAAACTCACCTAGGTGAACAAATGGATAGTTCATGGGCTCTTGTTCACTGAAAGAAGCAAAGCAATTTGCTATTTTATTTATATTCAAAGCCAAATTAAATATAATATCAAAGTTGTCCATGACAGACACCAATGGAAACAGATGACAAACTTCACCAGATCTCAGATAGCAACCTAACATGCAAAATTATATAGCAAATATTATAGTTGGAAATGACTGAATTGTTGTAACAGGAGTAAAAACGCCCTCTCTCCCCTATGTGTAGAATTTAGCTCTGGAATTGATGAATTCAGGTCCTGTATCTGCCTGGTTACTCTGAAAGAACACAGGTAACCTGTCATCCTTGGACCAGGTGAATTTCTAGTCCTCTTGCCTTTGGTGGTATACAAAGAATTACAGAGAAGTAGCTTGGAAGAGAATTACAGAAACCTGGCTTCAGTCCAGCAGTTCAGAGAACACAGGCCATGAATGCGGCGCTGGAGATCCCCAGTAATTGGTATGGAACAGCGGTAAGTGTGCCAGCGGCTCAGTTCTACTGTCTTATGTTACTCTGGATACAAAGCTGAATCTTTAAAAACATTGTAGGATTTCACATCTACTTTAAGGATAAGGACAACAAATCAATTACAATGATGTGCATGCAGTCTCAGCACACTTGTAAGTAATTTTCCTTTTAGACAGATAGAAAACCAGCACTATTTCCAGTCCTCACAGTCACCGTAATACAATACATTAGATAACAGAAAGGATTACACAGCACTTTATGTGATTATTTTAACAGAGAAGCTTTGCTGCAGTCTTCTCCATTTTCTGTGCATCATCAACCCTGAGCAAGGACTTCTCACTGGACTCAGTGACAAATTTTTTATGCAACAAAGCATGCACTTGCATTAATTAAAATACCTATTAGCCTAGACTGACAAATGATAAAAAGTACTAACAAGAGTATTCACCCCTGGATTACCATTACGATCAGTTTGCCTGAGTAATTAGGTCAAACTTTTCTTCATTTTCCCTATATTTTCGTATTTTCCAAGCACTCTGCTTATACTCAAACAATTAGACATTTCCCTATATTTTCGTATTTTCCAAGCACTGCTTGTACTCAAACAATTAGGTGTGATAAATAAAATGCCTTTAAATATTTCCTGTTAAATACAATTTGAAATGTTTTTTTTCTATGCCTAAAATGTAGCTGAAACTGTCTGTACAGTAATACAGTTCCTTTTGCTCTGTAATAAAAATGGAATGCTAGTCCTGTTTTTGCAACAACAGACTGGAGCTAGAGGGGAGCAGCAAGAATCCATTGCGCTGGGCAGACTGGAAAGATGCTGGGGGCTTGTGGGTGTGAGTGGGGTGATCCTAGATCCAGAATGGAAAAAAGACTGTTTTCAGAAGTAGAACCACTCCCACTGATAGTGGTTCCCCTTCAAAAATGAGATTTGTGACAGGCGACTTTAATGTATACTGTGTAAACATGAACCACTCCCACTGATAGTGGTTCCCCTTCGAAAATGAGATTTGTGACAGGTGACTTTAATGTATACTGTATAAACACAGCCAGCAATCAGCTTCAGCCTCTCAATCTTAAAAGCAAAGGGATTTTGACATATTTCAACGAGGACAGGATCTCATGACAGTAACAAGAGTTTGCTTTTTCATTTCAGCTGAGCAAAAAATTGTCATAATTTCAGTATTCAGTATACCACTTCTTTCACTTTTTTACTGTGGTCTCAAACAAAGCTAGTTAAATAAATCAAGAACATTTCCATATCTACCAGCAACTAAAATAAAGGCTGAAAGAAAGAATGTCTCTCATTTAGCTAATACAGAAGACTTTGAAGGATAGTGAAGTAAAAGAGAGAGCTGAAGAATTAAATCATAAACAAAATGAGTAATTTAAATGCAAGTAAGAATTTAAGCCTTGAACCAGCACCACTAGATAACTAGTCCACAATCTGGCACTGATCTGAGAATCTAAAGAATGAGCCTGTAACTCTGGAAGGAGGTAGCTTATTCTTGCTTCCCACCACAAGACAGCATCTACAACTGGTGACAAAAGCCCACTCCCTGCCTGGGTAAAAGAAGGTCTGAGCAGCTGGGGCACTGGAACTCTGCTCATATTCCACATACTAAATGATGAAAGAGGCTTCCTGCCATGCTCCATCATTCCTAAGGAAGCAACTGCTTCTCGTTGGGAGGTAACTGAATTACTATCAGTTCTAAAAAGGGGGAAGGACAGACTTCCATTAGATCCTATTAATGTACCAGTTCTCTTATTCATAGTATTGAGTTCTGTTGTGAAATTCAAAATACATAGTTACCAGTGCCACATCCATCTGGTATCTTCCAATGGCAAATACTTCTGACCACCACCGTTTGGCAACTTGGATCTCACTCACAACTGCGCTGCTTTTCTTTATCCTATTAATGTACCAGTTCTCTTATTCATAGTATTGAGTTCTGTTGTGAAATTCAAAATACATAGTTACCAGTGCCACATCCATTTGGTATCTTCCAATGGCAAATACTTCTCACCACCACCATTTGGCAACTTGGATCTCACTCACAACTACTGCTTTTCTTTTTTTTTAGTATCACCAGCTCCATCTGGTGGATACTCTGCAGCATGTACTTCCTTCAAGGGAAAGAATAAGATTTTCTAATAGTTTTGTTTGTTGTCCCTT